TCTCTCTCTCTCTCTCTCTCTCTCTCTCTCTCTCTCTCTCTCTCTCTCTCTCTCTCTCTCTCTCTCTGTGTCCCTCCCTTTCTCTCCTGTCCCACATACGCACCGGCATTTTCCTTGTTGACAGTCTGCCGGATAACAACGACCACAAGAACAACAGCCGCGAGGAAAAAACAGAGCTCACCCCTGCCCCGGTGACAACGATCTCGTCTCCGTCGTTCCCAGTAGAGATGATGAAACCGTCGTCTCCCGAGAGGGCACCAAGGGAAACGACTTCCGACGGGAACACCGCGGCTCCGTAGAAAACGTACGCCTCGTTGGCACCGTGGGCAGAGATTATCACATCGGAGTAGCCGTCGTCGTTCACGTCTAGCGGGTGTGTTGTTGTTGGTGGCGGCGACGCGGGGAGTTGTTGACCGGTTACGGGAGGGAGGGAAGGGAAAGGTGGGGAGAAGCGCGGAGAGGTTGTTGAGGCAGACATGCGCTTAATCGTTGTCGCAACACGTCTCGAATAGTAACAGGCGGTGGTTCGCATGCAGCGAAGCAGGCGGCGACTGTGCGCAACAGTCCAGTAGGCCGGGTACGGAATCAGTTCCAGCGGGCGGCGACGGGGCGATGAGATCAGAACCACCCAAAGAAGGGAGACGGGGCAGGAGTGGAAAGGAGACCGGGGTGCTGCTACGGGGGAAGCTGCTCTAGAAAGCCTTTCCCAGCGAAAAACGTTGTGGGCCGACCAATCTACGAGTGTTTGGCGCGGTCTTGGAAATACAACATTCTTTTCTACTGAAAAATTGTTCATAAAAGCCATTCGCTATCCCTTCCCAACACCATTCTTTCTAATGCTTTGCGGGAAGGGTGTGGTGTCAGATATCATGGAATCGTGCGTCCTCCTCCGTCTACCAGTCTCATGTTGTAGCACCCCGTGTGTCAGATACTCTTTGGCGCCTGGGTGGAGTATTGTTGTGATTTTTTTTTCGATTCTGCTACCAGAAAATGATATGAAAAATGGGCTGACGCAGCTTGTGGTTGCTTGGAAGTTCAACGAGGAGAACGAGGACAGCAGCAGCAGCAGCAGCAGCAGCAGCAGCAGCAACAGCAACAACACCAGCATGAGCACAATCACATCAGCAGCACCATTTCATCGAAACAACGACGTCAGCCTTCCCAAAACCCGAGAATCGTACATGCACACAGAGCAGCCGATCATTCCGTTTGTACAAGAACACCATCACCAGACAGCGAAAGCCATCTTCCCCGCGTACCTCCGGCGCCGGCAACGCTGTGACCCACATACTCCCGTCGCTCCGCGCCCTCAAACGTCAGCCCGCGCAACCCCAGCTCTCCCAGGTCGAGTATGCTGTCGGTCCACGTCAGCGAACCGAAGACTACGTATACCTCGCCGGACATTGATCCCGCTGGGTCCGACTGGAAAGCTCCGATGATCATGTCCGCGGCTCCGTCGTTGTTGACATCCTGGTCGTTGTTTGTTTGATCGGTGGACGGGAGCGTGTGTAGTGTAGCACGGCACGGGCCGGAGGTGAAGAGAGGGCGGCAAATCGAAAATGTACGAAGAACAAGTGTGCTTCACTGCTGTGTTCGCCTGAAATGTTTCTATGCGTGGTACATTCCGTCGGTGTTGATCTCTCCAGCAAGGATGGAATTGGGCATTTGGGAGTGCGTGCGTGGAAACTTGACTCCTGTGGTCTGGAGGTGACCATATGCCATTCTCCCCTCTCTCTCCTCTCTTTGCTATCCCCGTCTCTACCTGTTGAGAGGAGAAAAGTTGGTTGCACACAATTTATTCTATTTACCTCATTGACGGTCCCGCAGATCTAGGCTAAACGACCCGAGATTACGAACACTCCAAGTGTTGGCGTGAAAGCTCATGCCAGCGTTATCCAGCTTCACACCAAGGCCTCGATCTCGAATAGATTTTCTACCGGGTCATCCTTCCTCCCAATCTTGAAGTTGTAGTTGCTTCACCCATATGCGCTAGTCGCGGGTGGTTTCTTTGGTCATACTAGTCGATAGCCTTTTCCCAGAAACGGATCAGAAATTGTTTTGGATGTGTTTGTGGGGAGAGACAATCAACTGGTATGACCATACACACTACTCGCGAAAATGCAAATGCGTGAAGCAACTATAACATCAAGGTTGAGAGGAAGGATGGCCGGGAAGAAAAACTATTTCTAGAATGAGGACCTGGGCGTGGAGCTGGGTGAGGGTGGCATGAGCGTTGATGCCAACACTCTCTTGAGAGCGTTCGTAACCTCAGGCCGTATAGCCTAGGACTGCCGGACTGTCGAGTAAATGAGTTTAAATCGTGTACCAATATTCGTCGTCCCACAAGGCAGAGACGGAGATAGAAAAGAGAGTCCATGATCACCTCCTATCGTTTATTCGCCTGGCACCGCAGTCGAGGCGCCACGCCGTAGCCATCAAGACAGAATGTACTTTTCTGACATCGCTCAATAACACGGTAAAAATCCCCTACCTCGGTCGAACTCTCTACTGCACGATATTTTCTTTCGATACAACCCGTCTCTCTCCCTCCAGAACGTGCCGACATGTTGTTCCCCTGCTTCCGATAGACCAGAAGTCGGTTTTCGCCACATTTATCCAGTACGCTTCATCTCGACCGTTATGTTTCTCTCTGCTACACCCCTAACTGTACTTTCCCCAACTTACGGATACCGCTCTACTTTATCTCCGATCTACTTCTGTACCTTGTGCGAGTATCACTACATCACCATGACCTGAACCTTCACCGTACTTCACGAATCAGGCGCCCCTTTCGTCACAGCAAATGGCGTTTGAGCTCACAAAACTTCAAAAACATCCACTCTTTTTTATGTATCCAAACGTTAACCAAGAAATGATCAAACGTACCCCCGCCGCCGCTAGACTGAAGCCGGCCGCATCAGAGGTGGTTGCGCCGAGCATCAGGAACCCCGCGAAGCCGTCCAGGTCGGCGACTCCAACGACGGCCGGGAAGGTAGCCGCACCAAAGACGACAAAAATTTCTCCCGCCGCAGAGGACGCGCCCCAAGCTCCGACCATCACGTCGTCGTACCCGTCCCCGTTAACGTCCTTTCGTGTCACGTTGTTGGCGGAGAGTTTAGGAGGGCCGGAGGGAGGAAGAAGTTGTGCTCGGGGAAAAGATGCTCGAGCGACTCGAACGTTGTTTTCCTTTTTGAGAGGAGTGATACAAGCAGCGGCAGCAGCCGCAATAATCAACAGAGGGAACACCTTTCCGCCAGTTAAGTCCTGAAACTCATGTCTCCCACTTACCCCGGCGCCGCAAACGGCGGTCCCAGCAAAATCTCCGGCGTCAGTGCCCTCTATCTTGAAGCCGTTCGTGCCGTCCAGAGCGGAGACGTCTAGATTTAGGGCGGAAAATGACTCCGATCCGAACACAACGTACGCCGCCCCGGCGGTAGAGGTGGAATCGGGAGACTCGCCAAGAATGACATCATTGAAGCCGTCGTTGTTGACGTCCTGAAACAAAGGCAGGGAGAAGTGGGGTGATGTGAAATATTGCGCGTTGAACTGATTTGTACCTTCGATGTTACATGCTGTGATTAGCAAGGAGATTGGGTCACAAACCCGATCGAATTCATGTTAACCATTGGAATAGAATTGATCAAGGGCATTGGACAGGACAAGACCCAAACACTCTGTTACACAAGCTGTGCTCTGTAGACAAGTGTCCGAGATGACGTTCTGGAGGTGAGAACGAAGAAGTCTGGAAGCCACGATATCCTCCACAAGTACCGCAGGCATCAGTTCTATTGTGAAAACGACTTCCAATTGAATATTGCAATCGATAAGAGCTGACAATGCACCCTACACCTCCATGTTTCAACCGACAGTAGTCCTTGACAATAGCACACTGCTGCTCAAAGAACACTCAGAGGAACAGACGAAACGTGTCGTCTAACACTACAACACCGAGAGAAACCAGACGGTGAACTTCCTATGCATATGTACAACAATGTATACCCTGGTCCGAGCAAATCATGTTAAGAGAGAACTACAAAATGAGCTGTACAACGGCTGCTTGGTAACCTACTTTGTATGGAGCTACGAAGAGTAGACCATCTATCTATCATCTTGACTCCTATAGATTACATTGCGATCTACGCACAGCAACATCAGCAGTAGTCCGCAGTCTACCCCTTCAACCAGAGGACAAATGATAAGAGTGAAGCTGCGTGTGTGCTTGTGCTTCATGCCATAGACTACTGCTGTAGAAGCTTTTCTTTACGTATGTGGTAATTCGTCCCGTGCTTTAGATAATGGCAATCTCACCCCAACTCCGGAAACTGAGTAGCCAAGCCTGCCCGTCGAAAACTCGGCGGTCACCCGAAATCCGTCCGTGCCGTCCAGCAGACCCAAGGGATACTCTAAATGTCCAGGCCAAACGGTTGCGGCTTGGGACCCAAGCACTTGCAAGCCCGCAGCAAGCACGCGCTTGGCGAACGGCATCTATGCGGGCACCCGTGTGCCGCAAGTGGCTGTAGTTCGGACACCCACAGCCAAGTCCCCGCAGTCGTCGACTGCTGTCGGACGGCGCCCCTTTTCTCCACGGCAGTGCGGTTGGTACCCCAATGGATCGATCAACTGTGAATCTACACTCTGAGTCCCTGTCTGGCGCTCTTGCGTCAAAGGGGTGGCGCATACATGCGTTCTCACCCCTTCGCTCCCTCGCGTCTCGCTTCTGAACCCCGCCCTCGACGGTTTCGCACATCTCGACGAACCGGCACATAAGGGCTCACAGCAGTACTATAGCACCACCCCCCTCTGGCCCCGCTTTCAAACCACCTCTAAGCTGCGGAGCCCCTCGGGCAAACGCTCTGTGTGTCTGCAAGTGCAGAGAGCAGGTGCAGCGAGTGCGGAGGAAAGAGAGACAGGGAGCGTGGTGGACTTCGAGAGAAGAACCAATGAGATCCTGCTGCTACTGCTACAGCTGATACAGGCTATGGTTTGAACCACCGTGAAGTCGGTGCTCTCTCAAAGAGCTGCGAGGCTAGGCAGTGGGCGGCAGAATCAATTTGTCAACCGTCGTTTTTCTGGAGATCGTAAGAGAAACCTCATGCAGCAGCAGCAGCAGCAGCAGCAGCAGCAGCAGCAGCAGCAGCAGCAGCAGCAGCAGCAGCAGCGCCGACCAAGGCATCGGGGCGGGCCTACCCGCCCCGAGGGGCGGAGGAGGTCGCAGTCGCTCCTGCAGACACTCAACAGTCGAAGCACCAGCGGGAGGCCTAGGGGTGTCGAGCTGTGGGCGGAGGACGAGAGCGTCTTCCGCCAGCAGCTGGAGTATCTGGACCTGTCGGCTGCCTGTGCTGCTTCGGGGCCATCGCGGTCGACCATTGCCGTGGCTTTCAGCACCGACGGGTGAGTTTCCCCCCAAGAGACTTGATTTTTTTTGGAAATGCACAGCAACAGCAGTACCGCTTCTTTATCCTTGTAGCACGCAGACAGTCGCCGGCAGCTCCGGCTCCAGAGGTTGGTTGAGACCGCGTGTGAAAGTTGTTGCTCGACTGCTCGACCCCCCTCGACAGCAGAGGCCAGATCTTTCTGCGAAAAGTCAGCGGATCTCTCCCTCCTCCGATCGCAACACGCTACGTATAACTGAAACGTTTGGTCGGCTGGACCACAAAGGCAGGGTGGACTGGGTCTGTTTCGTCTGTCTTCTTTGCAAAACTGATGAGCAGGCCCGCCAACATTTGGCTGCCTATTCCCCCGCTGAGAAGGGCACATGTAACATGTAGGTCGTGAGCCTGGTAGACACGCACTAACCCGCCATGTATGCGCGGCTTGAGATATCATGCCCGGGGGGGACAGCCTCGCCGACCGGTTCCAAGCCGACCAGCAGAGCCGGCCGCCACCTCAGGCTCTGCAGCCGCTCTTCGTTGGATCGATAGCGTAAAGGCTCACGCGACTTCGTACACATGCACACGAAGCGCACCAGCCACCACGGTTTTCACGAACAGCCACATCCTTGGCCAAATGCCGGAGCACCGTCTTTATACTTTGGTCAACGGTTGTTTATCCTATTTGCTGCGGACCCCCTCTGCTGACTCAACTCGGACGAACGCCCCGGACCGAGCGTTTCTGTCTCAGAACGCTGACCTTCTCTGTGACCTAACCTACAGACACCGGGAACCACCGCCCGCGAGAGCTCGCACATGTTACGTATGTAGAAGTAGAAATTTTGTTTCGAGTTGTTTTTTTGTTTGTGTGACCTGGGATGCGTCGGTTGTTTTCCGACCGGTACAGAAGTGCGAGTGGTTTTGACAACGACCTAACCAGCCTCGGAGGTCTGCAAGGTGTACGTAGAGATGTATAGCCGGGACGCAGTTAGGGTGGCCTCGGTGGCGACACGTTTAAAACCCTTTGCGGTCGTAGTCGGGCGAACGAGCGGCCAAGGCGTGGACTGAGCTACTCGATTTCAGAAGTTGCTCGACCCACAGCAGCAGTGCCACGGGCAACTTGATGCCGTAGTTTCATCTGTCGTTCGATCGACTGCCGCCAGCCCGTAGGTGTAACAACAACCCTTGTGCCACGAATAAAAGGGTGCCCAAGGGAAAAGAAGTATTGAGGTATTTTTCTGTGCCGCCCTGCTTGCTTCAGGCGCGACATGCTTCCTCCGATACGGACGTATATGCACGTTTGTTTAGAGCCAGCCTGTAGGAAAGAGGTTACGAATTGTGGCAAAAATGAAATCCAGACAGACCATATCACCAGCAAGAACACCGCCAACAACAGCAACAACAACATCAACATAAACACCGACACAACACCAATATCAACACCGCCACTAGCAACAACAGCAACACCACCACCAGCAACAACAGCACCAACTGCAACACGGACAACTTACACACCAATAACTACCACGAACAACAACAACCACCACAAACACCCCAACAACAGAAAGCTGTTCGCGTCGACACACGGCGACCACACGGTGAAGATTACGGACTTTTTTCGGGGGAGGGTGGTTCAGTCCCTGCAAGGGCACCCCAGGACTCCTTGGACGGTCAAGTTCCACCCCAAGGACGCCAGGATCGTGGCCTCCGGTTGCATCGGATCCGAGGTATGTTGTGTTTGGTCGGGGGGGGGGCGGGGTTTCGGTGGATGCCGCATTGTCGGCCTTCCGTTAAACACGATTGCCTGGTGTCGCGTGCCGCATGTTTATCGTGACGACCTGATATGTATCGTCTTGCAATTTTCACGTACATTAGCGCCGCCGAGTGTTTGGAAAGCCTGTACTTCTTTGCCGCCCCTGATACGGATACTTGTTTTTTTTGCTTTGCTTGGTTCGACTTTTCGTTGGTTTTCGGCGCTGTTGCCTTGCTGTCTTCGTGGTGCGGGCGCGGTGGCGGCACCCTTTGTGTTGGCAGGTGAGGGTGTGGAATGCCTCGACGGGACGCTGCCTGCACAGCGTGACCCTAGAGGCTGCCATCATTTCCTTGAGTTTTCACCCTTCCGGCAAGATGCTCGCCATAGCCAGCAGCCTCTACGTCTACCTGTGGGACTACAGCGTAAGTGATCGACACCTTGGTAGATGGGTTGTTTTTGCCGGCACATACCCTGTAAAGCTGAAGCAGCACCGCGTAGAAGGTTCCAAGCAGACGCCAGCACCAGCACCAGCAGCAACACGACCCGAAAAATGATATCTTAGACGGCCCGTCGAAAACGTTGTTTCCCTAAGTATGTACGTTGCAAAATCGCACGGTCCCGCAAATTGATCATGTTGGTGAAGTCTTGCCACCCCAAGGACTTGATAATACTGCTTGGCGACATCGTTGCCAATGTTGATTCTACACGGTGGCCGTGAGAGAACCAATGCTCAACGAACCGGCATTTCGAAATGCCTTGAACATTGTTAGAGATAGTTGGTGTGAAGACGACCACTCCCATCTACCGGGGTCATTTACCAGGTATCCTTGGCTCGTTTATCATATACTTTGATCATGCATATCACACCGTGAATCTTCGGAACCTGTAGATTGTAGGGTTTGCCTCCCCTTAAACCACAGCGGGCTAACTTGGAACCTTGCTCTTTTTGGTCTGTGCCGATCAGAGCAAGGCGCGCCCGTTCATCGCGTGGGCCCACTCGCACACTCTGCGCTGCGTGCGTTTTACTCCTGGCGGGGACGGCATCATCGTCGGTGCCGCTAACAGCAGCTCAAGCTCCAGCACCCCGTCTTCTCAACAACGACAGGTCACAGTCAGAGAGAGCGAGAGCGAGAGCGAGAGCGAGACAGAGAGACAGAGAGACAGAGAGACAGAGACAGAGAGACAGAGACGGAGAGAGAGCGATAGGGACAGAGATAGGGACAGAGACATGCAGACAGATGAATTAGTTTGTGTATACGGTGGAACGAACGTAGCCAGCAGACGACAATGGACTAGGAGGGGCCACGGTGCGCAGCGGTGCAACCTCGAACAACCAAGACGTCGCGGTACGCTAGGTGTGATGGGGGCTTTATTTCAAGCGGAACCTCTCCAAAGCCCTTGCCGCTGTCGAGGGACTTCGGAAGGTTGTGCTCTTGGTTGACTATACCACATGTGCGTAAAAGCAGAGCACAGCAGTGGCGGCCTCGACCACACTTCTTTTTTTTGTTCTTGTGGAGACCAACCTCCCGAGGGCGATATGGAATCGATGTCTGGCGTGCACTTTCGCTCTCATGCGGACCACGCAACAGATCTCCGCGAGGCTTGCCTCACTCCGCACACTCGCCCGACCAACCCGACCGGCGTCTGGACCAGGACGACTCGTCTGCTGCCGCGGGAGGAGGAACGCGGGGTGGAGCAGCAGCTACAGCTACAGCTACAGCAGCAGCAGCAGCAGCAGCAGCAGCAGCAGCAGCAGCAGCAGAAATTCCACCATCATCCCGGCCCGCCGAGGTGTCTTTCCTGCTGCAGGTCTGGGACTTCAGTCTCGAGGCAGCTTTGGCAGAGGATGTCTCCACGGCGATGACCAGGGTAAGGAGACCATTTTCTTGGCCTCGTTCCGTTAGTTTGGCCCGTGCTGTATTCTGAATCGGTGTGAGGCTTGCTTCCTCATATGGGAACGTTGTTGCCAACTTTGTTCCTGTGTCCGTTGCGGATGGACGAATGGCGTCGGCGAAAACACGTGTGCTTGAGTATTGCTTGGCTCGCTGCCTTTCCCACTTTGTGCCTCTCTCTCTCTCTCTCCCTCTCGCCCCCCGACCCCCGCTCCGCGTGTCGGCAACTCCCATCCACGTTTTTCGCTTAGCCCTTTCTTCCACCGCGCTCGGCCGAACCACTCTTTTTTTGTCACCGCTCGCAAACGCGGGCGGGGGGGGGATTAGGAACGCGTACTCCTGAGCCGAGCCCTGCTGTACAACGACGGGGGGTTCGATGTGTCCGAGGACGGCCTCTGGCTGTGCACGATCGCCGAGCTGGGGGAGAGGGTTGTCGCGAGCGACCGCCGATCTCTCCCTGCCGGTCCGAGCCTGGCTTCGGAGCAGTCGATCCCTTCGATGGCATCGCCCACGGCGGCCGCCGCGGCGGCGTCACCGATTTTGACTTTGACGGAGGTGGAGGAGGAAGCGGGGCGTGAAGGGGAGGCCGAGGAGAAAGGTTCGGCGGCGGCGGCGCGGGGGGGGGAGCGTAAGGGACGAGCAACGACGGAGCCTCCGGGCGGTGCGCCAGGAAGTAAGAAGGGCAGCGGCAGTAGCGATGGGGTTATCGCACCCAAGAACGGGTCGAACTTAGGCAAGCCGGGCCACGCGGTGCCTGCGTTGGTAACAACGACGAGCAGGGTCGCCCCCACCGAGAATTCGAACGGGTCAATGTCTGCGGTAGCAGCACCGTCGGCCGCAGGAGCAGGGAGTGATTCTGGCGGAGGTGAGCAGCACACCGCGGACACGGCAGCAGCGAGAGGACGAGGAGAAGGTGCTGGTGAGCAGCACGCCGGGGGAGAGTGGGGATCCGTGCTAGCGCCGTGGCCTAGTCGAGCGCGCACAATGCCGTATTTCAGTGCCACTCTCGCGGCGGCAGCAGCAGCGGCAGCGGCGGCGGCGGTGGGGGCACAAGATGTGAGAATGGGAGGGGTTCGGAACAATGCCGACGACTGTGGGGTTGGATCAACGGTGGCGGAGGAGGAGGCGGCTGCGTCGGCGCGGCCGGAAAACGGGGGTAACAACGAACCGCCGCCGTTCACGCCGCCCCCGTTCACACCGTCCCCGCCAATCACTCTCAAGCGGCGCTTGAGCGGGTCTTGGCTGAGTGCGTCGGGCGGTGGCAGGAGAAGCGCGGGGGGCAGCGGCGGGTTCTGGGGCCGAGACCTCCGGCGAGGGTTTTCGCCGCGAATAGGAAGCGCCGAGGGGACAAGGGGAGAAGGAGCAACGCAACGAGAGGGAGATCGTCCGCCGCCCTTGCCGCCGCCGATGCCGCCGATGATGCTCGGTGTCTCCCGTCGCGGCGGCTTGTTGGCATCGTCACCCCCGTCCTTTTCGACCCCTTCGCCGTCCTCGCTCTCGATGGTCGCGTCGCGTCACGCGCGGCCACCGCCGCCGGCTGCCGTGGCTCCGTCGAAGTCGTCGTCGTCTTCGTCTCCTTCCTTGCCGACGGGGGGGATGAGAGTGTCGCTGCCGCTGCTGCTGCCGCCCCCGCGGCGGCCGTCGTCGTCGGACAGGCACGGCGCCGGCGGCGCTAGCTCGGCCGGAGACGTGGGGGCAACAACGGGAGGCACGTGCCGGCAAGGAGAGCGACATCATCGTCATCATGAACAGCAAGAAGGCGGGGGGGCGGCGCAGCCGCTGTTTTTTCTCCAGGTTCCCGGGGGGGGCACGACAGCGGCGGGGGCAATCGTGACCGATTTAGGACGTAGGGAAGGCGGAGGGTGGAGCACGGAGTATTTACGTGGTGGCGGCGGCGGTGGTGGCGACGCAGTGGGTGCTCCGCTGGCGGCACCTCACGGGAGGGGAGGGGGAGGGGCCGGACATAGATGTGTCGCCGAAGAAACACAGGGCAGGGGTGGCGATGGTAGCGAGGAGGAGCGGCATCACGGCGATGGTGGCGACAGCGTCAGAGTAGAGGGGGCGGCGGCGGGGTGGAGACGGGATACCCCGAACAACAACAACAGCAACAACAGCAGCAGCAGTGGCGGGATTCATTCTTCTTTCGGTCGTAGGCGTTGTCGCGCGTCCCCGTCGCTGGCGGTGGAGTCGCAGCCTCACCGGAAGCTCGTGCCGCACCTCGTGATGGTGTCGCTCAACGTGGAGGGAGGAAGAGGAGGAGGAGGAGGAGCGGGGAGGGGAAGCGCAGCCCGGGTGGTGCGCGCGGAGCCGATGGACACCCTCAACGCCAAGCAGGTGTCCTTACATAACCCAAGCATGAGGGATTCGGTAGACGCAATTCGCTCTTCAACGTTTTTCGGTACAAGAGAGCCCGGTGCCGGTGATACCTTGCGTGGCGTTTGGTATGTTGTCGTGAACCGGGAGTATGGTGTGTTTGATGACCCTTTTTTCTTGATCAAGAGATTTTTCTTACGTTTTGGGCTCACGTTTGCCGCAGAATGATTTTTTCGCCGACGAAAGAGCGGTAATCATTCGTGGGGGTGGTGTCTTCCGTAGAATACGGAAAGTTTAGTGCCTCTTCCTGCGGAGGTGTCATCTTGCGTACAACACGGGAAAACCTTGTGCCTCTACACACCTTGGGTTCTAGATGAAAATCCGCTCTGGATCTAGACGTTCGCTAGAGTAGCCCCATCGGGCTCATTTTCACGCAAGTTTCCATCTGGGTACGGCAAGCGGAGCGGGGCCGCAAGCGCTGTTCTTTTTGCCTCATTGCAATGCTCGACTGGGCATCGTGGAAGGTGGGACGCGCGCGTGGTTTGGAAATAAGTACACGAAAAAGAAAATGGATGTGGCATCTTGGGGCCTTCGATCATTTGTCGTTGCACGGAAGAGTCCATCTTTTGACCAACCACCCTTTTAAGCTCTGCGCGGGTTTCGTTCGCGAATGGGTCTCGTCTTTGCGGCCTTCGACCCGGCACGGTCGGTGCCGCACGCACACGCCTCCTTGGCGGTTTACATCCCACGCCAACCTCCGTGCACTCGCTAACGGATGCTATGTTCGAACAAAATCGATTTTTTGTGAAGGTCACGTCGGTGAAACTGTCGCCGTCTGCGCGGTACATCCTACTCGGCGTGGGGGTGCGCGGCGGCGGTCCAGGGGGCGGCGGCGGTGGCGGTGGGAGGGCTACCCCACGACCGAGACAACAACAGCAAGAACGACAGGCGGCCGCTGTTCCTGACCGGTGAGTGAGTTGGTTGTAGCGTAAAGCTCCCCTACTACGGCAGTACCAGACCTTGGCCAGGGTGACGATCGTGTGTGTCCGGACCGTTTCGGGCGCTGATGCCAGAGGGACGGATGGCCGTAGGTTTCGGGGGCCTCCCTCTGTCCGCCTGTCTGTCTAGTCGCTTGCGGCCGGACAGATGTTGCGACGAAACTCAAGATGTGGGGGCCATGTAGATGATGAACGTGTTTCACTTTGAACTGCTATGGACGTGTTTATTTGCAATCGTTGACGAGGAAGACAAAGCGGAGCATGTGCGTACAAAATAGAACGGGGAGGAGCTTATCCAGGATGTTGCTGATATGGATTCCGCCATTCAGACACGACGGAAATGCGGTGTCGTATGGGCACGTTCGCTGTGCTATGCTACCACCGCCGTTCACTCCCTCCCCATTTTCTTGCTCCAGCCTAATCCGTCCCCCCGTCGTTTGTTTCTCCCCTTCGTCCCTCTGTGTGTGATTGTCGGGTTTACCGCTCGTCTCTTTGTCGGGGCCCTTAGGCGAGGCAATGCGCCGGGCGCCCCTGCCATCCCTCTCCCGTCGCAACGCCCTCTATCTTCCATCTACCGCTCCGTCGACCTCCAACCAGTGGTGAGATGGATTGGGGGAAGCGAGATACAAAGGACGACTGGCCAAAGAAACTTGACACACAGAGCAATCTCTTAGGGAGCAAGGTATCAAACCGTAGTGGCATCCCTGCCCTACGTGGATGTTGGAAGCCGTGCTTGCAGAGATGACGTCAACACGAATAGCGGGAGCTAAATTTTTTCTACCCGTTTTGTTTTTCCGTTTGCGTGTGAGTTGTTTGTGGGTCCGTCCTGTCAATTGCGGCGACAATTCACCCTTTTTCTTGGTGAGACGTGGAAGACCGTTTTCATTGTTGTATAGTACTACACTTTTCTGTTTATTTTTTCGTACAACAACAGCCATCCAGGGTCACACAGGAGGGAGGTCAACACAGGGGATTTTTCTTCATTCCACGTCATTATCGTGCCCTACGTTCCTCCTGCGGTGCGTGCTGAATTTATGTGTTGATCGCGAGAAGGGTGCAGCCGTCCCTTTCCCTAGTCGACGGTGCTAACGTCGAAGGTTGGTACTCGCGAGGGCTATTTAGCTTCTTTTTTTTTCGCTTTCACCCTCAGAGTTGTGAATTTCCACCCAACGGGAATCCGAACTCTCACGGCTTTGCCACTCGCAGTTTCGACGTTACCACTAGCCCACCGTAGAAATATCCCTTGCTCTTACCTCGAGAGCCTTCCCACATTGAGGTTCTTGTCTACGGGAAGTGATATCGGAGACAATGACGAGGCCGTTTCCTGATCTGTCCACGTCCCCTACCACGGTCATGTTCCCCGTGAGAGAGGATGTTCCGACCACTTCCAGCTTGTGGTTCCCGATGGGTTCACCCCGATGCCCCTCCCCCCGAGATCATTTACTATTGCTATTGTAATGATGAAGTACGAATTAATGATATGTACTTCGTTTTAAGCCCAATTCCTTTTAGGCCCAATCTCCGAGGAAGGGGTAACCAGTTGCGTCCCCCCCACCCACGACGACCTGCTTGCAGAACTCGATGCCAATGCCCACGGGCGAAGAGGACGTGAACATCGCCTGCTTTCACCCGGAGCCGGGGATGGGGTGCGTGTACGGCACCAAACAAGGGAGGGTCGGCCTCGTCAGGATGTCGGCCGATTGACCTCGAGCGGGCGGCGATATCGGCGGATTGATTTCGATCCGTGCCATTTTTACCTAGGGGAGCAAGCGAACGACGGAAGAGGAAGATTGTGGGTCACAGGCGCTGTCCGCCAATCTGAGCGCGTGATGTTCACACGTTGCAATTATGTTTGTTAAGCTTTCCGATTGGTTTTCTATTTTTCGTCGAAAAAGCGGCCCCCGGCAAAAACACGACGCATGCTCGACGTGTTCCTCACGTGTGTTTGTGCAGGCTTGTTGGTATCAGACGTATTATTACATCGACTTATAGAGGGCCCCTCTAAGGGGCAACGGTGAGCACTGGTAACATAGCTGCCTTTCGACAGCTGCTGCGTTGCTTTGAGGTTGTTGTATTGCTCGACTTTTTTTTTTCTTCTCTTGCTCCTTCCCCGCCGCCCGCACGGGAAGAACCCTGTGCGATACATGCAAGTATTTGACGTGCCTTCGGGATTGACGGCATTTGTTCTGTTTCGCTCTCCGTTCGTGACGTGGGCTGTTGTTTGGCCGGCGATGTTTATCCCTTTGCGTGGGTTTTTGGTGACGTGCCTTTTCTTTTGTGACTCCCTGCGTACGTTGCCCACAGGACGCCAACTATATGGGAAACCCAAACGCGCGAGGATGTGCAAGGGTGCGTTCTGGCCAGCTGTCGTTTTGTTTTGGTTCCTTTTTTCTGAGTCGGCCAGTGGCCGCGGAGAATCTCGTGTTTGCCTCAAGTAGTACTAGAGGTGCACGATAGAGAGCAGGGCCGCTTTCCTTGTGAAGAGTAACGTCAGCACCGACGAGAAATGAATTGTCGAGGTTGAGACGAAACGTGTCGAAAACGGTACGGGACCGATGTTCGTTGCCGAAGTGCTGTCCGCATTCATACCAAAGGCTAGAACCCATCTTGTGGTTGTCTGTTGATACGTCGGAAGACGTGTACCCGGTACAGTGTTTATTAGGCACACCGTTCTCTCCGGTCTTTTCTGATTTTTCATGAATTCCATACTGCTGCTGACTGGTCTTTCCAGCGATTTGACATCTGTTGCTACAAATATACTGAAAATCTTGGGATCGAATCCCAGGCTCAACACATTTGAAGTCGGTTTTCCAAGGTTTTCTTCCGTAAACCCTGGGTACTCTTGGATCGAGTGGGTGACGGAAACGCTGAACGTACCCTGGACGTTCTGAACTGAATGCGGGTGATGAGCTACTTCAGAAGAACTGCCACGAAATAGAAGTTAGACTAGATGGATAGGCAGTAAGTACTTGTAGCGCTGGCGACAGGGGAGTGACCGTCCTCCGAAGAAAAGTGTCGGGGTCATTCGGATCCGCCATGAACCGGCGCCAGCGCTGATTGGTCTTCTAGCGAAAGCTTGTCGTATCGTTGTCAAACCCTCGAGACACACACGACACAGCGAGAGAGAACGAAGAAGGCGATCATCTCAACAACCGGGAAGACAAACAACACATGCTCTTCAGAGAGAGAGCGAGGATTGGTTGGGTGGACCCACCCCGCGGCCTATCAGCAACAATTTCTCTCTACCAATTCTTCAATATCTGTCCGCGATCGTTGTTATGTGTTGCAACTTGTTCCATGGTAACATCTATCCGAAAGATCCTTGTCCCCTAGACTACTATTCAACAAGTCAAGACACAAGATAAACCCAACGTGGTCACAGCCAACTGAATAACTTAATGAAATGTATAGAAGGTATTGTCGCGTGCTATATTTCTACGACCCAGTGAAATGCCCGTGTCCGCGTCTGTCTGTCGTTCGTGGTTATTTTCCGTCGACCGGGCCAACCCCGCTCCATCAACCTAGAGGTAGGTAGGTGTGCAAGATTTTTATTTCGGTTTGTGTTAAGGGGCGTCGAGTGTTGGTGTCGAACGATCGGGTAGAGGCGGTTCCATTGACAAATACTGGGTCAAGATCGTGCGCAAATATTTGTTTCCAGACAAATAACGGGTATTTGCGACCGCGTACAAATACCATTCATTTGAACTTTGTTCATTTGTATTTGTACAGGGTGTGGAAATACTCTATATGTATGTGTGTATGTACTGCTTGTATGTACCACGTACTACGTAGACTATACACTTACACTAGGCTTCGGTGTCCAGCTCATCAATATGACAACCCGCTCCTGAATACAACCGCAATAATTCCTGGGTGCCAAGCAAGGTACAAAAAAAGGGTGACTGGAGAAGGAATGATGAAATGCACGAACAACAATACAGCGCGTTTTACAGTCTGCCTGCCCATCCGTCCGTCTGGACAAATGTCTTTCTTCCATGCACACAATTCAATTCGCCCGTGCATGCTTTCCGTGTCGACTCCTCCCGCCGGAGTTTTTTGCAGCCACTCCCTTCTGAAACACCTACGCTGTTCTTCAGCCCATCAAGCTAAACGTTGGTTGGTGTCCTCCGCGCGTCTCGCTCTCTGTCGCACATGCATTGTTGCACCTTGCCAACCCCATCGACTCCTTCAAAACATCGTTTTTCTACCGCCCTCGAAAAGCGGTGAGTTGCATCTCTGGGGTGCACTGCGTTTCAGCAAGCGACGAGAAGAGCGAGAGGGGGCGGTGGGCGGGTGAACCCTACAACCTGCTTCGAAATAATTTCATAGTTCATTGTGGCTGTTGATAGCTCATGGAGGACGCTCACTGAGGAAGACCGTCGACAAAGAAGTCAGTGCCGCTTGCCAATCAGGACACTTCCAACCTTTAACTCGAGGGTGCATGTGTAAAGCCATCCCGCGCACCTACCGGCTGTTGGTTGGCTAACCGTGAGTTTTCAAAGTGGTGGCACAACGTATGCATACAGGAATAATTTCATTGCGTGTCCTGACGTTGAACAAGGAGGTCAGCTGGCCGGTTCATTTAACACTTTCCCGCCACTAAAGCTAGATGCAACGCAGAAAGTAGCACCCGATGACACAGCACATCAAGATCAGATCGCCCAAGAGTTTGGGCGGACTCATCAAAGCTCCATTTTCGTATCTCAATGTCAGTGCTAGATATAAGGAAGATCAGGATACCACGAGTCTCGGCCTTGGTTCCGTGTACAACTTTCCTTCGGTTGGAGGCGCCCGTCCCTTCCCTCCCTCTCTCCTTCCCCGTCTTACAAACTGACCTGTCGGATGCGATTGAAGGGGCCATCGAGTGGACCCCGCTGGGACCACAAGATTCGCCGCCTTCCAGGGTGTCGGTGCAGCCGGCCTTTGCCGCGAGGGCTTCTATCCGAGACAGTAGGTTCTTTGCGAACTCCGGCATGTCCGAACCTCCGTGAGCGGCGGAGTCCGTCCCCATTCGCTCCACAACGTTGCTGTCGTTTGGGCGGAGAAAAATGGGCGCTTTACGTAAGCAGGAATGCGCAGTACTCGTAGACTACCCTGGAGATTGATCCGAGGACAGGAAATCGGCAAAATTTCGACTTTCCCGCCCCAGTCACCCCCTCCGATACCGACGGAAGTCAATCCCCCCTGTAGCCCTAATAGCTGTAGACGAAGGGGTAAGGCGTGAGAACGGGCACGGGGGGAGGAGCGGGCGGGCGGCGGGACGTATGCACCACACACCTGATGCGCAGAATGCCCATGTACTTGACGCCGTGAGAGATCGCGAGAGTCGTCAGACCCACCCAAACCAAAACCGACAGAACGAACACCATGTTGGCCATCAGCTGACGTGGTCCGCAGCCGTACAGCAATCCGCAGCACCTGAATTCCAACAGTTTTTTTGATTGTTTGTTCGGGTCGTTTAATTCTTGCTTCACACCGACCCACACCCGTGTAATTGTGTCCCGCTCCTCTGCCAGCAAAAGCAGCATTAACCGTGGTAAGTGTGGCGAAAACTCACGGCATTTGCAGAAACGGGTCAGACAAACGCCAGGGGCTAACACTATGCGTGAGTATGTGTTGGCTTGTGTTGTGCTTGTCTTCTTTACTTCTTCTTTTCCGCGAAAAAATGTGATGCATCTGAGTGAGGTCCTCGAATTGGCCCTGTTACTCCATTCGATTAAACACAATTTCGCCCGTTAGGACGATGTTGCGGCAACGCGCAAAATCTACACACGAATACGGCCTCATGAAGCTGACTCAAGGCAACAAGACTTGAACCGCTCGTCCGCGCGGGCCTGCGCGTTGTTGTGAAAAGCACACGCCACGATCACATGCATGCACGCCCCCGACGTTCGGCGGGGTGGGGTAGGTTTTTTGTTCTCTTCTTGCTCGTCGTCGCGTTGCGCTGTTTTGCCTTGCCCTTAGTTGCGCCTGCTGCACGAGTCTCTGAATTGGGAAACACTAGTCGGCTGTACTACTACCAACTAAACGAAACGCCCAGCAGGTGCGCATGCTGCTTGGTCCGGCCTGAAAAAAAAAATCGCCAACGCAACAGACCTGCTTGCCATGTGCATCAGAAAGCGTAAACTTCGCTCAATGGCTTTGTTCGGGCTTCCTATTTGCCGAATTCGAGCGGTGTGTATCGCTGCCATTGGTTTATGGTGGTGGCGTGCTGGGCGCATACATCTCCATCTAGGCTCTTCAACTCGCAGGGTTTTGTGGTTCGATACAGGATGAGACTGCGTTGTCGGGCAGGCAGGACAAATACTGATCGAAACAGCAAAGAACGGCTTCTTGTCCAAAGAATTGGTGTCAAGTGCCGTGAAAACGCACACACAAGCGGCTAGCGTTCAAGGTACACGACTAGGTGCGTCTAGCAATGCGGACCAAGACTGGTTGATGATGAGAGGCAACTGGTGCCATGCTAGACACCACCCGTGCGGCCAACGGTCTAGCACTTCTACGAGACCTGGATGAGGACAAAAACCAAAGCTAGCCGTCTGTTTCCGATCTTTGGACAGCATGTTCAGGAAACGATTTCAGCATGATGCCGGGAACGATCAATCAATGTCGCAATACTTTGTTGTCGCTGTTGGTGTACACGCGGTTTGCCTTACATACTCCCTCTCTCGGAGTAGTAGGACGCGCTGTACCCCTCTTGAGAGGCGAATAGTCCCGCCGCTATCACGCCCCACACACCATTGGCGAGATGAACGGGCGACGCATCCACCTTTCGTTACAGCAAATGAATGTTGTCCGTCGAGTGGGGTGTAGCGACGTGCGTCAGCGCGATCAGATCTCCCCCTTTCGTCTTCGCAAGTGGGGTGGTGCGAGTTCAATCTGTCCGTCGCGGTCGGTTCGCGGCGAAAGAGCATCTGCGTGGTTGTGCGAGTTGGCTGCTGCGATGAGATAACATTTGTTCGCAACAAAACAAGGGAGCTACTTTGTTGAAACGAGCACCCGAGCGAGCGTTGTTGTGGTAACCTTACATGCATTGCTGCCGTGCATGATGCCTACAACCTCTTGTGTGGCTTTCTCTGTTGTGTGTGCGTGCTGTCTTCTTCGTGCTCCTTCACAACCCCCGACGTACATGGGCATGTTCAGCGCCAAAAAGATTCAGCGTTCAGCTCCCCCACCACAGTAAGGTTAATGACGCTATTTTCTGGGTGAATTTCCCCGCGGGCCACGACGAAGAACCCTCACGTACGGGCTGCATCATACTATCAAACAGGCAACATGCCTTCAACATCTACCTAGGATACGCACGCATGCGTTTGCTTGCGGTTCGACTGATGAAACGAAACCCGATCCCCGCACGCTCCCCGGCCATCCTACACGCGTGACTCTCTGAACGCACGAGTCACAGCGACCCGCGGGCCTGATGCGATGCCCGGCCGGTCTGTCAACCCTCCGGCGCGCCGCGCTGTCCATCCCGACTTTGCAGGGATGCAAGCGGGATGTGTGGTCTGGAGTCAACCAACTGCAGTTCAATGTTCCCCCTCCTTCACTCCCCCAACTCCTTGCACCCAAAAGTTGCTCCGCCCTCGCAGTGGGCATCAATCTCTCCCCATCTCTCACCATGTCGTCTATGCGCACGAGCTCCAACAGTCGTGAACATCCGAGGTAGTTGAGGGCCGCAATGGTGCCGATCAAGAACGCTCCTTCCACCTCCACGACAGCGCAGCCCGCTGTTAACGGTTCAAAACAAGAAAGGGGAAAATATTGGGGGTATCTATGGCTTTGGTCGAACGATGTGAGCCAGCATCGATGACTGAGAGAGAGGGGGGCGAGAGATCACCGACCAATAGAAACCAAATACGAGCCTCTTTCACTTGATTGAACTATTTTAGTGGCGCGATTTGTGTGTGCTCTGTCGTGGGCGCGTTTGGCGATCTTGCCGGTGTTGCCAAACCACACGTTGAAAATGAGTTGGGATCGTGGGACAGGAGGGTGGGTTGACGTGGCCTTGTGGGGAGCTTATTCTCCATCTGCGAAGCAAGTTTTGGGTCGTCGGAAGAGTGTACGGGAAAGTGCTGAAAACAAGCTCTTTGAAACACATTGGCCTACAAAAAGCGTACGAGGCAGGGCACAGGAAACATAGCTACCCACCTGTTATCGCAACAAGTCCCGAGAGCAGCTGAGCAGAGTGTTGACCCAAGTCGTACAACGGCAAGGCGTGCGTGAGGATCGGGCAGAGGGAGGGAGGGTGGAGGGAGGGAGGGAGGGGGTCACGAGGGCCAAACCGACGGTCAATCAATGCATTGAAGAGAGCCAGCCGTAGGATATGTTTGAGCATACAGCTCGCCTCGCAAAAATATTTGGTATCCCGTGTTGAATCCTATTACTCCAAACAATCTGTGGGGAACTGACAACTTGTTTCATTCAATCTCTCCTTTGTTTTCGCATGCTGAATCAAAAACGTCTGGCAAAATATTTGGCCTTCCCTATGGATATCTTCAACCCTAGCTCTGTTCTTCGTCGGGCATCGTTTGTGGATACGCTCGCTCACGTCCATATGTGGCGTTTCTGCTGCTACGCTGGGCGCCCGCTTGTGACAAGAAGCGGCGTTTCGTGCTTCGTTACACGACTACTGTATCAACACGGTATCATCTTCGACACTCTCAAGCATCATCTCCAACCTTGAAAGTTCAATGAAGCTGTGGTGTGTCTGAAGGCACAAATGACAACGCGACAACCGGCCAAGCTCGTTACTACTGTTTAGCGTATTCTTCTCCGCGAGCAGTCAAGCGCCCGTGTCAACAGCCAACGTAGTGTCCGCGATCAAGAGAGTGCGCGTGGAGGGTCACACACACGAAAGCACTAGTATATCGGGGGAAACATAGAGAGACTTACGCCGGCATTCAAGTGTGGATACCCTAAAGGTGGAGGCTTATCGCCGCACAACTATGGTTAGGCGGCCTATACGACTGCGTGCGGTTCAGGTATCACTTTACAAGAGTGCATCAGTTTTGGGCGTTTGAAGAAACACCGTTCCAGTAGAGAATGTGTGAACAAGGCCACGGGAGAAAGAGCAACACACGTTGCACTTGGAAGGCGATTGTGGTCGACCCCAACAATACTAGTCTCATAGCAGCTACTACTCAGTAGAGTGCCAGCGTGGGCACGCTACTTCGGAACGTGAAATTTTGTAAGAGCAACGTTACGGTTGAGTACGCCTTGATCCTCGCTCCTTACCCCGTTGATGACCTGACCAGGACCGACATGCTGAAACAGAATCAAGCTGGCGCAGGCGACCCCCAGCGCCGCCGATGCGGCAGCGATGGAGGTGCACACCATTGCCTTGGCTGCAACGTGTGAGTTGCCGGTTATATACAGCGTGCTGTTGTTGCAGAGTGCAGTTCGTTGGGGGTAAAGGGTTCGGCGCAGGAGGGCGCGGTGGGGCAAGGCGGGGCGGGACATGCTACTTTGTTCATTTGGATGGAATCCGTGGACAAAAACCTACAAGGAGGTCGAGGCTCGATTGACCTCGCAATGCTTCAGCTATTTACGGTTTACGACGCATTACAGCGGATCCCTATTTGCGTCATCGTGTTGTAAAGACGACGTGCTTTTTGTTTGGAGGAACAAGAGGTTGCGGATCAATTTTCTCTCATTTTCTCATTTGCGGGCGGACACTGCTGCACGTTGAGTGTTTTTCCGTACGAACGTTGTTGACCCTAGCTGGTTGGCTGATGAACGCTTGCCAGTCTTAGCCGGGCTTACAGATATCTATGTACGACGAAGGCGGGGAAAGATGTCACGGGGTACACCATGTAGAGAGCAACCGATACAGTGCATGCGCGCTAGAGCTCGTGTAGCAGGAGGCTAACAAGCGTTCTCATGGACGGCACGTTAGTGGAACGGCCATGTGACAAGTTGGTTTTGTCGACAACACCAGCCAACCGCACGCATGACGCACGAACGGCATTGTAGGCTAGTACGAAAAGGCGAGGACATTGATGGTGAAAGATCTGTGCTCTGGGCAGAAGTCGTCGACAAGCTTTCATCGTCGTGGATGGCAACAGCAATCAACGTGATCGCCGTAACTTTCCGCGGGGTCATGGTGAGTAGAGAAGGGTACCCACCTGCACCCGTTGAATCCATACCACCCCACCCACAGAATGAAAGCCCCCAGCGTCTAAGCCGCCAGCACCCGGAGTCACGGAAAAAGTGGTGATGGCACAGTTTCAAGGGCAAGAAGAGAGAGAGAGAGAGAGAGGGTGGGTGGGTGGGTGGGGGTGTACTCATAGTTGTGCATGTCATAGTCATTACCGTATACGACACAAGATAACACACCCCCTTGACCAATTTTCGAAGCTCGATTTCTCAACTGCAGGAACAGTCACAGCGCCGAAAACGGCAGTGTTGAAACCGTCTCGTCGAGAGCTTTTCGAAAATGTATCGTTTCGTTTATGTATCCTATTCGTCGTGGAGTAATCGAGCTTTGAAATTCGGTCCAGGGGGTGTGTTATCTTGTGTCATATACGTTAGACCATTGACCTGGCATTCCTACAAAGCCGGGACGGAGCACGCCGGGTTCGCACCGGACCAGGCTCTCACATCACCAAGCGCGAAGCGCCGTGGCGTATTCGGAGTGTCGCATGAAGGGTGGGCTTCATCCTGTTAATGGTGTTCGGCATCTTGAGGTTACTTCCTTGCGTACGGACGACCGCTGCGTATGACTTGGTGCTTTCACTTCCAGAGAAGTTACGGGCACTGTGTAACTGCCTCGAAAGTGCGTGACCATGTTACACAACGTGGTGCGAGCATCCCCCTTCTCGCGGAATGAGGGTCCTCGACCCCGCACAACATGGTCTACTCGACCACCGGGTGGGTGGCCGGGGGGGATATGAACGAGTACAAGCCATGGTGGGAAGGCGAGGGGAAGGGGGGAGGCGCATCCTGTAAATCACCCAGGCTCCAGGGCGATACGTTCATCATTCACCTGCAACCCAACAACTCGCGCCCATCACGCTCAAGAGACACTCCCAATACAGATATGGAAGGGGGAGCTTATGTGCGGAGAAGGGATATCACAAGAAAAGAGCGAAGGGCTGCATGCAGTATTCCTTAGAGTCAAAAGGACGGAAACAGGCTGATGACAACAAGTCAAGGCCGACTACAGAATGAGGGAGAGAGGATCGAAGGAGGGACGGAGAAAGACACGGAGAGTTCGCGTGCAGCGGGCCTCCAGCGAGAAGCCGAAAACGCCACGGCATGGATTGGGGGGGGGGAACAAGTGACTTTCTGCCAGAGTGGCGAAACCGCCGGGGGGGGACCACATGCAGACCGCGGTCTGGTCGTACCTCGATGATGACGCTCTGCCGCTCCATCTTGTTCTTGGCACCCCCGTCGGAGAAACGACCCAAGCGCGGTCCGATGAGAACGACCATCACGAGGGCCGCCATTCCTCCGGTAGCGTGAACCTGGATGGGCGGACGTGAGCGGTGGGGAGGTGGGGGAAAGGAGCGATACATCTCCAAGCGTCGTTGAAGAAAGAAACCTTGGTCCAAAGTTCCCGTACTTTGCGGCCTGTTCCGGGAACACGTTTCATCTTTCGTTTAACATCGGGAGCTGATTTCTGGTTTCCTGCCTGTACCCCAACGAAGCGCCCATTGCTCGTTCGGCGAACAAAGCCTATCGACAAATGGGTGCGGTAGAGAAAGTGACACGAACGCTTTTTCAATATAGGCATGAGTGTGTACGATAGATATAGGCTTGAGTGTGTGCGATAGATGAATGGGCGCGAGTATTGGCTCATGTGCGGTCTGTCACACCCGTAGTGCCGCGCACGCGCTTGAGGCAACTCGTGAGACATCTGGTCGCTGAGGTACTCACGGAGTAAAGCGGGCACTACTATTTTCCGCAATTTGTCGCGCAATAGAACGCTCGGTGGGACGGTTTCGATAAATCTGACGCGGCTATCTCCGCATCGGAAAATCGGAACGGCCCGTGTCATTTGCTTCAGGAGGGAATTGCAACGGACGTTCACGGATGTGCTTGAAACGGGGGCTACCTGGTGTAAACGGTCCAGTCGTACGCCGGACCCTCCGCACCTCCCATTCACCCGTGTTACCCAAAACTCACCACGCCCGAGCCCGCAAAATCGATGACCCCGCAGCCGAAGAGAAGGTCGTCCCTGGTACTCGACCAAGCGGACGCCCACCCATGTGAGTTCCATCCCCATCTCACCACCTGCCAAAAAAGAGGGCGCATCCGTAGGTGTTTCTCGCTTCGAATTCCTCATTTTTCCTCCGCAATGTGTCCAAAATAAAATGATCGAGTCTGCCGACGAGGCTGCTTGTCGAGCAGCTTTGATGTTACCGCACTTCGCTGTACTACTTACTTCCTTCAGGGATGTCGTCGGTGGGTAGTAGAAATTTCGATCGTTGAATCACTTCCAAGAATACTAACCATTCCCTGTAAAACAGTCCTGTCAATCTTTCGATGTCAGAGGTTCGCCTTTCGCACCCAGAACATGTTGAGAAAACAGTAAATGACCCAACAACCGGAGCCGCTTACCCGACGAGCTCGAGGTCTACTGCTGCGCACGCGAATGCGTGCACTGTATTGAACGCCTCGACGTAACCCGGCCCTTCCTCAATCCACCTGTTGCTCTTCAGCAGCTGCCAGCAACGAGCACGAGTCTCCGCCAACATCCTCCAGCGCACAATCTACCGGCCGCATGACTTGGAACAGTGTTTCCTCTAGACTTGGTTGGTTTACCTAGTTTTCACCCGTCCCTTTTGACTCCCCTCACCCACCCCGTTTCTTCCATCTTGCTCTCTGAGCCACTCTCTCACTCACCGTGGGATAGATGAGCCCAACCATGGCCTGTGCAAACAGAAAGTACCCGGACATGCAAATTCTCTCTCCCACCGCACCAGATACACTGCACGACCACGGGGGTGTGAATGGACCGGGCAGGGGACAGTACACCAGAGGAGAAACATCGCGGATGACTAAGGAGCCACTACAAAAACGTCGCGTGGGCGGGATGGAACAGCCAAAAAGCCTGCCGAGTTTTCGGCTTCGTTCAGGGCAAGGTGACAATCGGCACCACAGGATTCAATCGACCGGTGTTTCGCAGACCGTGTCCACAGTCCGTACAGGCCAGGCTACATAGTCGGCCCACATCACTGCTGTATCGCTTCACCCCCTAGATCTGTCGATGAGGGTTCGCGCGCGGTAGCTCGATCAACGTCCCCTATCAAAATAAAATACATACACTCTCGTAGCAAGCAATGCTCATCCAACTCCACTGCTGTTGTCCTGCCCTCTACATCCTTCCTCCCTCACATTGTTACGGCCGTCCCCGAGAAGCTCCACTAATCGTTCCGGGTAGCAGGCGGATAGCAGCAGGCGTAGCAGGCGTGGAAGCACGGGTAGGATGCAGATGTCGTTGCAAGTCGGTGGAAAGCTGTTGCAAATTACAAGGCTGATGTTTTTCTTGGAATCAGAAGGGTAAATACCCGGACACAATCTGAGACCTCCTGCTACAGCCACGTAGACGCGACGTTCCTCAGTGTGTCGAGGGGCGTGAGGCATGGATGCTGCAGGGCTGCTGCTGCAGCAGCAGCGGTGTGCTACACACGCGCGATTCTCGACTCCTTTCATTTCAGCTTGCATCGCGAAGACAATCCCACAGTTGTTTCGCCTCCTCCCGAGCGCACAAACATATATAGGCCGGAAACTACCTTGCCTCACGGAGGGAAAGGCAAAAGGTGGGGCGATGTCCCATGGTGGCGTCCGCGCAAGACCGCCGCCGCCATTACCTGGAAAAGCCACAGCGCCCAGCTGTACCCGTTCTCCGTGCCGTAGTTCCCCGCCTCGTCCACGAACTCTTCCCCCCGCGTGAAGGAGGAAACTGGTCCGAAGAACTGGTTGAAACCGTTCTCCTCGGCCCCCTTGCCGAAGGCGAGCCCCCACCCGACCGCCCACCACATCACGGCCGCAACGGCCAGATCAAGGATGTTCTTCAAGGTAGCGAATGAGTGGATGCGGCGGGCGGAGGTTGGAAGGAACGCTGTTTTTTTCTTGTGTCAAGACTTGATGAACGCGTTGGTTGCAAACATGTCGGTTGTAGAGTGCATTGCTAACAAAAGCGTGTGAGAGCATGAGGGTGTCGTCTTCAGCATGTGATGAGCCTGCGCCTCTGAGAGACACCGGGCGGATTGAGATTGTGTGCGCGAGAAGTGTTCGCGGAGCACGAAAACATGTATACATGAGGGAGAACGTGCGCCGGTGTCGAATCCTCGGTGAGGTAAGAAGGACTGCGACGGTATGCCCAATTGCGAATGGAACACGCGCAATGTTGTTGCCGAATTCTTCCACGTGGTACGTATTAGTTGTTCGGGCTATTAACGTCTTTTGGCCCAAACGGTCACATCAGTAGTAAGAAGCGCCGTGTTTCGTCCGCAGGAAAAGGAACAGAAGGAACCTCACCTTGATCAGCAAGTTTTTGGTGTGCTTGGCCCCAACTGAACCGACCTCGAGCATAGTGAACCCTGCTTGCATCACTGCAAGACGGTGTAAGGAAAACGGTACCGAAATCGACTTTTTGAGGAGCAACCAGCGGAGGGAGCAGGGTTTGCAACAGCAACAACAAACACAACAACGACAAGGTTTTCCATGCCTTCCAAACCTGGTGGTTCTACGTCAATATAGTACGTACATGTAAACAGGAATCAATCCAGGACGTGTCGATTCTCGAGTGGTTCGACAAGATGCGCCAGGCACCTGCCCGAAACGCCAGGAAGCCATTCTACCCGTGCGAACAAAGGTTCGTGTTATGAATCCGTCGGCTATGGCGACATGTCGCGCGTCTGTCCCATTCATATTCCCCAACCCCTTTGCTCCTGCAGGTAGCAGTAGGAATACACTTTATCACCGTCTCGGAGAATGGTGGGTGAAATATCCGTGAAACGTGTGTGGGTCCCAAACAACAGCTGTGCCTGGCGTGGAACGAACCCTGGCCTGCTACTTGTAATATTCTTGCTGCATAACCGTCCCAGCGTTCCCCCAGTTTGAAGCTGGCACATCGACCACGAAGACGCCACCGTGTGGCCCGGTGCACTCTCGCTCTCTTGATGGCGGGGTGCACGCAAGCAATGCAACGTAATAGTGTTCTTACTACATGCCTCGCTGTTGTGTGTAGTTGGCATCGACAGACAAGTCTATCGTACGACACTATAATAATCGCTTACACACGACGAGGATGGCTCCCACCATGAGCCACATGGAGTCCATGTCCGTCTGCATGGACCCGACCTCGACCTGCAGCGCCTCCACAATTTGCCATAGCTCTGTGACATTCGCCTCCATAGCTGCGCGTGCGCGAGGCCTTCAACGAAGAAACGCGTCGCCGCAGGACCATGCACGAGAGTCAATGAAAGCGAAACATGTCGGTCAGAAACACCAGCACAGCGCGGCGTAAAGTCTGCAGCATCGGGATGAACGGTACCGTAGCGAAATCGCGGGGGAATGGTTCGAAAAAACAACCTGATGACTGCTCTCACCGAAACGGTGTTAATGTGCTCATCACATTCAATGGAATCAATCAAGTTGTTCTTTGTCAGAGAAACATGCCCGATAGTCGGTGGCATGCTGTGCAGCGTATATACTGATTACATTGTATCGGCTATTGAAAACAATTCGCCGGGAGGAAGCGTTTGGAGCCTTTGGCCTGAGAGTGTTGGGGGAAAAGACAGAGGCGCTCCCGATGCGGGTACCGCAGAAGCGGACGAAGCGGACGAAGGAGAAGGAATCAACGCTGCCACCGCCACCTCGTCCCCTGTCGCCACTGGTGATCGAAGCTGTGGGGAAAAATACGCCTAGACTGCCGAGTTCCGATACCTGGGAGACCATGTCCATGAAGGTGATGAACTTGCGCCGGAGATTAGCCACCGGAACAGAGCAGCGTGGCCGCACTCACGTGGACTCTTCGACCAGCAGACAGTACGGGGGAGAGACTCCAACAAGGCCCGATTGCTGCAAGCGGAGGCGATGGAGGATGTACTGTACGGATGCGTGACGTGGGCTCCGCGCCGTGACCTACCAGTTATTGAGGAGGACAGAACACTAAATAGCTATTTTATTCCTACGAGTTTATAGGGTCGTAGTTGTCGACAACTTTCGTTCGCCCAGACTCTTATTCAAATGGTCCTGTGCCGAAACACTGAAGCCATTGTCCGACCACGGGGACTGCTGTTCGCGGAAACCTTGGCCAGACAGCGGCCACCCCCGAAGCGAGCACCAATGTTTGGGAATCTCATGGAGTGGGGGGGAGGATCCAGGCAAGGAGTGCAAGGAGCAAAAACAGCAACGTTCCTGAGGGACGAGTTCCAGCGTTGGGAGCAACGGACGAATCTACGGAAGTACATCGGAAAACAGTCGGAGTTCCTGGCACAATCGTGGCCGTCGCAGCGAAGGTGTACGAGGTACGCGGGAGTGCTACAGGAACCGGAGGGTTCATGATCTCCCGGCACAGGGATGAAGACGTGACCAGCCGACAATGTGCGTCTAAATAGGACAGCATTGGTCTCAACAAAGCAACGACGCCAGCTACACGAGGGGGGAGCGGGGTATCCAAGGGCTTGCGCGTAGATACACACATCTGAGGCGGCATCTGCGACCGAGGAGAGCAGGAGGAAGATGCTAGAACGTGAAGAATAATATGTGCCGGACTGAAGTTGATCGAGGGCCAGGAATCCGTCATGTATCCCCTTGTCGTCGTATTGCTAGTCCTCTTCTTTCAATCGCACCCTATCTGATGTGGCGTACTGATCGATGATGTTTTGTTTTTCTGGTGGCCTGCTGTTTAAGCGCTCGCACTTCAGAACTGGCGGTTACGAATTCCATGATCTCAACACGATTATATCGAAACATGAAAACTTGAGCTCCAGTTGTGAGCTCGGTCAAGAATCTCTTTACAATTACCCCAATTAGCGGACATTCATAGCCTCACCCTGGGAGCTTGGTCTAGAACCCCAGCCTCGGCCAATCCTAGAGCGAAACTGTAGCATATTGCCTTTTCATTTGCTTTGAAGTGTCGACGTGCAGCGGGCGCGAGAGTATGACCTGCGAAACTCCCCTCTCTGTAGGGATGCGGGAACATTACTTGTTTGTTTTAAAAGGAACTTTACACAGGTATCATGGTGTCACCCGTGTGTGTCGTTTTTATTTGCATCGACCGCGCTAATCAGCTGATCGATGAAAAGACGTCAGTCTCAGTGCGGTGGAAAACATAAAATACTGAATAGGCCACGATCTGGAACCCTGTGACCGAGCGTCATGGGGGAGTCTACGCTACAAGGTATATGCTCCGGATTAAAATCAGATACCGCAGCAATAACAAACGACAACTGCACGGGTCTGCCGGGTGTGCTTTTATTTTTTGCATCGACCACGCTGACCGGCAGGCCAATGAAAAGACGCCAGTCTCAGCGCAGTTGAAAACACGAAACACTTCGAAACACCATTAAATGGGACCCCGTGAGGGGGCGGCATGGGGGAGGCTAAGCTATTCTCCGGATGAAAGACAGATACGGAAGCAACAGGAGAAAACTGCTAGCATCTACCAATGCTGCTACCTTGCACTCGAGTTCGTTTTGGAGTGCTTTCACCATTCTCCTTTTGCACCACCACCATCATCATTCTCATAATCATTTTCACGGCAATTTTCGGCAGTTCTTCTGTGGCCCTGTGTGTGTATTTTGTGCGTGTGTGCTTTTATTATTAGCATCGACCGCGCTAACCGGCTGACCAATGAAAAGACGTCAGTCTCAGTGCGGCGGGTGCGTGTGTGTGTGTGTGGGGGGGGGGCTGGTGCAAACTACAGGCAGTGGTTCATCCCGGCCTATCTATGCCCAACATGCGACAGACAAGGATAGAACCACGCGAGTCCATGGTCGTAATTGTTGGTGACCTTTGATTTTTACATGATTTCTTGATTTTGCTTGGTTTCGTTTGTTTGTCGAGGGTGGGCTTTTTGTATCAACCCCTCCTTGTATCGATCTCCTTTTATCCGAAACGTCACTGACTGCCAAAGTCTGATCGTTTGATTATGTATCTTGAACGGCAGCCCCGCCCGCTGGCTTTCGATTGGAAACCTCGTATCCAAGTTTCTCCTCTACATTACACGTAGATTGCGATAATGATGGCGCAGGCAAGAAATTCGTAAGAAGAGGTGGAAGGCGTAAGTAGTAGCAGTATAGTCTAGTTGTTGTTGTTGTCTTGCGTTCTCTCTAGCCAGTACCTTCTCCTACCCGTGCTAGGTCTAAATACAAGCAGTCGAACTTATGATTTATGATTTAAGACCGGAGGAGGAATCGCTGAAACATTCTGCATGCACCGCCGTAGGGGGGATGGTACCGCTGTTGTAGGAAAGCAAAACATTCCACATTTCACCGGTGAACACCGAAATGTGTACACCGGCGCCGCCCAGATTTAATATCAGTGGGACGAGACCAAAACTACACAGAAAAAGGGAGAAAAAAAGAGAGAAAAAAAAGGGAAAAAATGCTTAGTTAGGCTGAGTCTTCGGCGGTTTCTTATAGATCGTTTTTGGTCGGTCGAAAATGTGAAATTTCTGGTTCCGGACAAAAAACTTTTTCTTATAAAATCAGAAACGACACTTTTCCGGCTGCACATTTTTGATTTCACGTTTTCAACCGGTCATGCGTTTGGAAATGATGACAATTTTTGATCGGATTACACGTTTGTTTTTTGCGTTTGGAAATGTACACCACACGGACACAACCATCAATTGCGCAGCAAGTACTGGTCGTAGCGAGCCGATCAAGGGCTCCAAGCAACCCTCGGAGCACTATACTGCCATCCCAGCCGTTGATATGTGGGTGACGTGTGGTCAGGTGCGCTCAAAGCAAAATGTTGGCCAGCTGACGCACGCACCGCTTGTTCAGACCCGCCAAGAGACGCATCATCATCGTACCTACACGCACATCGATGGACAGAACCTCCTTTTTCTCTCTCGCTGGATCACCCCTCCTGCTGGAACTTGCCGGGGTGTGCGCTCCATGAACTGCTCTCTATCGAAGGGGCTGTGTCATTTTTGTTGGTTCAATAAGTGGAGAGGAGTAGCTACAACGCCACCGGTGACACGGCGAGATATCTGTACAGCAGTGAGCGGCAGGTCATTTTTGGAACATCAACAGCAGCAGGGTCAGTCGACCCTCGCCAACTTCGTTGCGCGGCCTCCCAGTGCGTCACGGTCCTTAAAAACCACATCACAAGAAGCACCATACACACAGCTACGGGCGGGTGGCTTTGTGGTATCTATTGGTTCGGTCAGTGAAGAGGGGTCGCCACGAAACCAACCCTGTGATGGCGCAAAACACTGTCAATAGCTGTGTGTTCGAGCGGGGGGTCATTTCGAACAGCAGTCGGCCCTCTCGCCAACTTCAATTCTCAACCACCCAGCAGCGCCTCACGGTCTGTGATAACTAACCTACATGAGGCACCACACCCACAGCTAGCCACGGGCCGATAGCTTGCTGTTGCTGTTGTGTCGCCCGGTGCACAGAGATCCCCGACAAAACAAATCGACTGACTAGTGATGAGGTGTGGTTCGGGGTACTTGCAGCAAGATGAGCGGAGAAAAGAGAAAACCAACGGCCACACATTCCATGGCCAGCAGCGCAAAAAAAACCTTGTCCGACACTTTGTTCTCTTCTTCCGATTGGGAAAATGCGCATTATTGAACAGGTTTTCCGAACCTTACTTACAAGAAACCGCCTTACGGCGTAATTATTTCGGAGTTTTTTTTTTCTCTCGGTCGGTCGGGCGGGCGGGCGGGCGCAGTGCAAAAGCAGGCGCGTAAAAAAAAGGAACAGCACCAGGGCTTCCCACGTGGTCCCCCACCGTAGTACTAGCNACGACCGTCTTGGTTCCTCGTGTCTATATTTTTCTGAAGGGAAAAAAGAGGCTGATTCATGTTCTTGTGGATCACAATACGCGTCAGCACACGGTTTTGGCTCGTCTGCGACCAACAAGACACCGAGCGCCCGGTTTATGGGTCGCCTGCAGAAGGCATGTGCATCATCGCACGCTATCGGCTGCAGTTTGTGGATGTCGCCGGCGAGAAGAGGCCTCTCTCTGATGGCATGTGTTGTACACTGATCACACTCGACTCGGAGCAGGCAGCAAAAAAAAAAAGCGACGTCCAAAAAAGGCAGGCAACGCCGAACCACACCTCGATTCACGTTTGCAGGGCGTGTGCAATCAAAACTGGACAATACGCGCGGCTGCAGTTTGTGGATATCGCCGGCCAGAGGCCTCTCTCTGATGGCATGCGTTGTACACTGATCACACTCGACTCGGAGCAGGCAGCAAAAAAAAAAAGCAACGTCCAAAAAAGGAAGGCAACGCCGAACCACACCTCGATTCATGTTTGCAGGGCGTGTGCAATCAAAACTGGACAATACGCTCTGTTTCTGGGACGCGAGCAGTGGGTATGTGTATGACCACACGCCCCTGGCTGCTGTTTGTGGATGTCGCCGGCCAAAGGGCCTCTCTCTGGCATGCGTTTTTAACTGGTCGCGGGTAACACACGGAGCAAACACGCGGCGGAAAAAGAAAAAAGACCAAAAAGTCAACACCGTAACACACTCTTGTTCACGTTTGCAGGCCGTGTGCAAATCAAACTGGACAATGCGCTCTGTTTCTGGTACGCGAGCAGAGGGCATGAGTATGACCACACGCCATTGGCTGCAGTTTGTGGATGTCGACGGCTTAAGGCCTCTCTCTGGCGTGCGTTCTGAAGTGGTTACACATGCAGCAGGCACAAAAACGGCTCTTTTCGGCCCAAAGGCAAGAACATCAGCAGAGCAATGTGGCAAGGGGCAGGGTTGACGTTTTCGGCTCGTGTGCGGCCAACACGACGTAGAACGCCCTGAATTTTAGTCACCTGCAGAGGGTTTGTGCATGACCTCATGATACTGGCCTCTGTTTGGCCAGCAGACGGTGTAGTTTCTCGTTCTGGCACGATCGGGGTGTGACCAGAGGGTACTCCCCCTCATTTCTAACAGCAATATTCCAACAGGATCGCTGAGATGGATTCGTTGTGTAACAGGAGGATTTCGCTACTATTTCATGTAGGCAAGCTCCCCACCAAGATCAATACCAACCGTCTAAGTGCCTTCTGCGAAGCCAACAACATCCTCCCGGAGGAACAGTGCGGATTTCGACCCGGGCGATCCACCGTCGACATGCTGTTCGTCGTGCGCCGCCTCCAGGAGCTGGAGCGGAGAAAGAAAATACCGCTCTACATGTACTTCCTCGACTTGAAGAAGGCGTATGATTCGGTGGACCGAGAGATGCCGTGGAAGGTGACGGCCAGGGCCGGGATTCACGCGAAGCTGATCGAAGTCATTCGCCAATTCCACGATGGAATGCGAGCCCGGGTGCGCATGGACGACGGAGAACTATGGGATTGGTTCTTCGTGACACAGGGCGTGCGACAAGGATGTGTGCTATCCCCACTNGAAGGACTGGCGAGAATGATGGCCATCATCGTTGAGGTGTTCGGGGAGTTCGGGCTGACGGTGTCGGAGGAGAAGACGGAGACGCTCCTGATGCGCGCGAATGACAGGCCGACCACAACATCACAGCCCCCCCCGCCTCTACCGCTGACCATCGAAGCCGCGGGGCAGAAATACGCCCAGACGACCAAGTTCCGGTATCTCGGTGGCCTCGTCAACGAACATGGCGACCTCACCCGGGAGATCAACTACAGGAGCAGAGGAGAGTGGGCGTGCCCTAGGCGATATGGCCGGGATCTCTTCGACAGACCGAAAGCGCCATTCCGACTCAAGATCCGCCTGCTCCAGGCGGAGGCGATGGAGGCACTGCTGTACGGCTGCATGACATTGTCACCACTCAGCGGCCACTATCATACGCTGCGGTCGATACACCACCGAATGCTCCTTCGAGTCATCGGGTACAAGCTCAAGAAAGAGACCTACCGGCAGCTCTCTTACGCCCAGACGCTGAAGAGGGTCGAATACCAGAGCGTTGAAGCCACGATCCGACAACGACGCCTGCTATTCGCGGTAGCATTGGCAAGGTAGCCGGACGGGCGACTCCCGAAACGACTGATGCTGAGCGAACTGGTGGGGAGGGGAGAAGCGACGTAGGGGGGGACAGGAACAGAACTGGCCGAAGTGTGTGCTCGACGACCTGAAGGCATTCGGGGCCGACCACGGATCTACGAAAACCTATCTATGTTGTCTCGGAATCCCGGTACCGAAAGACACGGCGCCGAGTTTAAGTGGACGGAAGCCGCGAAGGTGAAGGGGGGAATACCCTGGAATGCGGCGGTGCTGCAGGGAGCTGAGAGGTTCATGACCTCCTGGCACGAGAAGGAAGAAGAGGCCAGCCGACAACGGGTGCTCAAACGAAACCACAAGCCAACAACCAATGGGGCGGAAGGCGGGCAGGAGACGGACGAGACGGCGAGGGAAGAAAGCAAACGAGAATAGACGGACCGAGTGGCGCGATATGTGCCGGATTGAATTTTTATTGGCCAATTCCCCCCGCCCAACGCTGCACCATTGCACCAACCCCCCACTAGTGATGACGAACCATTATAATGTATCGCTGGTTGGTAGCCATGTTTGCATGCTTGCTTGTTCGGTAGTGGTCTCTCCACCGTGTGCCTTTTTCTGTCTCTTGTTTCTTGCTATTTTCGGCCTGGTCCCATTTTGTCCTCGCTGTTTTTCATTTTGTTATCTCTTTTCTTACTGTTTCCTTTTATTTTTTCTCTTTTTCTCTGTTTCCTTTTTCTCTCTTTTTTCTTTCCTTGTCTGTGCCAGGTGGCCTTGTCTCTGCTTGCGTTGTGAAGTACCAAGATTGAACCAAGGGGGTGTACCTCTTTCTCTCCTGCCTGCGATGGTGACTCCTAGTCTCAGTTGTTACCTCGCATCGAGGGAGTGCAGGACTCCAGAATATCTATCGTTGATTTCTATTGACTTGCGTACCCCTCGGGGCCAGTTTACTTGAGCGTATCCTTAGGGTAAGTTAACCTGTGACCACGGGAATCGACCGCGTCAAGTGTTGGATCAGTACGGACGTACGAAGGTACTGGGTAGAGAGAGATCGGAACGGCTTTTAATGTGAAGACAACGACAACAACATGTTACAACAACAACAACAACAACAACAACAACAACAACAACAACAACAACAACAACAAAAACAACAACAACAACAACATTAGTAAAAAAAAAAATGCAGGCTGAGTCCTACGGTCTGATTACTTCCGGAGTGGATTTTGGGGGGGTTCCTTTTCTGAGCCAAAAAAATAGTTTGGGCGTCTTACGGGTAGGAAAATGGCAATTTGCAACAGCCCAAAATCCAACAGCGCAAATTCCAACAGCGATTCCGGCCGGCCTGTTAGAAAATTGGCCCATTTTTCAACAGCGATCCTCTTCATCTGTTGGATATTGCTGGAAGAAACGGGGGGGGGTACCCCGTGGTCACACCCCGATCGTGCCAGAACGAGGAACTACTCCGTCTGCTAGCCAAACAGAGGCCAGTATCATGAGGTCATGCACAAACCCTCTGCAGGTATCCAAAATTCAGGGCCTTCTGCGTCGTGTTGGCCGCACACGAGCCGAAAACGTCAACCCTGCCACATTGCTCTGCTGACGTTCATGCCATTGGGCCGCAAAGAGCCGTTCTTGTGACTGCTGCATGTGTGACCACTTCAGAATGCATGCCACAGAGGGGCCTTAAGCCGTCGATATCCACAAACTGCAGCCAATGGCGTGTGGTCATACTCATGCCCTCTGCTCGCGTACCAGAAACAGAGCATATTGTCCAGTTTCAATTGCACACGGCCTGCAAACGTGTACCTAAAAGTGTTCTTGCGGTGTTGACTTTTTGGTCTTTTTTCTTTTTCCGCCGCGTGTTTGCTCCGTGTGTCATCCGCGACCAGTCAAAAACGCATGCCAGAGAGAGGCCCTTTGGCCGATGACATCCACAAACAGCAGCCAGGGGCGTATGGTCATACACATACCCTCTGCTCGCGTCCCAGAAACAGAGCGTATTATGTTCGTGTGTGCATGAGCGGATGAGCATATTCCTACGGGACTACTGTAGGAAGTGGCTACGCAGATAGGAATTGCTATTAAAGACCCCTGGGTTGGTTTCATGGTTGCTCACAGCGAAGGCGTTTTTCAAGTTTTGTTCAAGTTGCTTGGGCCACAGGAGGCGCCTGACTCACTGCTGATCCACCCCTATCTCCAAAATGAAGCGAGCACAGCCACGCTTATGCATAGTGTGCCCATGTATGCGCGACAATATGCGCCAAAAAAAAAAAGTATGGCGAAATCATGCGTTTCGTAATGCACGCGAAAAATCATTTATGTCGAAAGCAATGCCCGCATATTAGGGAGTATAAGCCTAGCTAGGGAGTGCTTGCTGTGTCGTGGCCCTCCCTCTCTCCCGCCGCGTCCTGATCGTGTTTGCTGTCCTACATACAAGTGATACCATCATCTTCAACACACATACATGAGGTATACTAACGTATTGTCCAGTTTTGATTGCACACGGCCTCCTGCAAACGTGAATCGAGGTGTGGTTCGGTGTTGTTGCCTTTTTTGGATGTTGCTTTATTTTTCGGCCGCTCGCTCCGAGTCGTGTGATCAATGTACAACGCATGCCATCAGAGAGAGGCCTTTGGCCGACGACATCCACAAACTGCAGCCACTGGCGTGCGATGATGTACATGCCCTCTGCAGGCAACCCATAAACAGGGCGCTCGGTGTCTTGTTGGTCGCAGACGAGCCAAAACCGTGTACTGAAGGATGTTGTGACTCACAAGAACGAACATGAATCAGCCTCTTTTTTCCGTTGGAAGCGACGCGCTGCAAAGCTCGTTGTTAGTAAACTTGACCGACTTCTTGAGTCGCGAGGGAAGGGATTGCTGTACCCGTCTCGCGATAAAAATATCTCAGGCATGAACCGCAGGAGGGGGTCCAACCCCCCCTCCAATGTGACCCCGGTTGGGTCGTCTAGCTGGTAGAAGTGGAGGATAGGGGCCAGAGGGGCAGACGGCAGAGTCCAATGATGGGAGAAAAACAAAAAAAAAGAAATGTCTTTCGCTCACGTTATGGATTCATTGCTAATCTATCGTATGTGGAAAAGAGGGTTTCGTCCTCGACAGACGTTTGGGGAGTTTCAACCTTTATGAAGGTGTTCTCCACATTACCCCCCCCTCTTTCGAGCCTTCTTGTTTGCTCGGCAAGGGAAGTCTTCTTGGGGTAACCGGAACCCGACCGGCTGGCGGCGAGTAGAACCACCTTTTTTCCAACAATCTTCTGTGCGTGTGTGCGGGTACACCACTTCCGCCAAGCATTGCCAGAAGTTTCGAGTTCGATAGACAGTGCATCGTTTCTTGGCCCACCCACCGTTTTTCTTTTTCCGTACTCCGGAAGAAAATTAGGTGAGCAGCGGGATTTGAACCCGGCGTGTCTTTTGCAACCAAAAGCAGAAACCTGACATCTCTTCGTCGACGCCATTCATTGTGGAAAAGAGGGTTTCGTCCTCGACAGACGTTTGGGGAGTTTCAACCTTTATGAAGGTGTTCTCCACACTTAGACTTATTATCTCTAAAGATAGAGATGGATTCATTGTGTGATATTAATAAAAAAAAATTAAACTCAGCCTTAAGAACTAAGTGGTACATGTGGCTTCTGCCGCTGACCTCACCATCAAGGGCTTGTGCACCACTTTGTGCAGTAGGGTGCTAAACATCTCGCAGATTTATCACAGCTGCGACGCGCCACCATGATGATTTCCCGCTAAAAAAGTTTGCCAGCACAGCATATTTCTTCGCGGCGTTGTGCGATAGTAGTCTACAGAGCACTCCTCATGTTACTCGGAATCTGTGTTGCTGATGTTCTTTCTCTACAGACAGCAGTACGTCGACAAACATTCATTTTGGTTAAATGCGGGACAAGGCGGGTGATGCTGCTGCTGTAGTCGATTTGTAGTGTGTGGGCGTGTAATTCAGTTGTGAGCACGCAAACATGCTGCAGGGATTACAGGTGTACCTCCTCGGGCTTGCGTACCCTTTCCTTGCTAATAGTGTGTGTGTTCTTCAGGTCTTCTGATGGCTCTAGCATTTTTGTGACCACGGACCGAGTCTTCGCTAGATTTTTTTGGGATTAGCAACTGACACGAAAAACATCAAACAACACTCTGAAGGCCTGTCGTGTCTTGTCGTGTCTTGTACGTCCAAGCAGTTCATGGTTCCTGACCGAACCGCTGTATAGTCTATGTGGCAGGGACTCTCACCGTGCTTCATCTCAACGCATCATCTTGATTGCAGTATATCACAGATGGTTATTCCCTTTGCACTCCCCTGTCTGTTCTTGACGCTGATGGGCCGCGAACAAAGGCCGGTTTGGTGCACGGGCCTGGTCTCTCGGCCGGCGAATCTCGGCGAACGCAGAAAAAAACACACGAAACATGCAACCAAACACCAGTCGGCGGTTACCGCCGAGGTTCTACAGATCTACGATCGAAAGTTTTGCTAAAGTCTTCCCGCTCTGCGAACGGCTGTCAGACCCAATGCACCCTATCACTACATTTTCACCTGCGCCCCGTACTTGTTGCCGCGTAGTGCCAGCCAGGGAGAGAGAGAGAGAGAATAGATAGAGAAACAAGAGTTCCCTCTCTCCGCAGGTGGTGATCCCCTCTCCCCCTGTCTACACTGAGCACTTTGGACTCGCTTTTCGTTTCAAGAGGCGTGGAAACTTGGCTGGCTGGTTGGTTCCATCTGCCACGGTTGTTTTTCGTACACGAGGCAGCGGGGCGGAGAGGGAAGGACAGACACGGAAATTAATCCATCTGCTGCCCACCGCCCGCAATCACGCACACACCAGCGAACACACGTGCGTGCTGGAAAGATGAAGGTCGTGGGGGCTGCTGCTGCTGCGGCGGCGGCGATCGGTTGTTTGGCGGAGTTGGGGAGCGCTCAGAGCTGCTGCTCCCAGGATTCCGACTGCACGGAGCTGTTGGCGCCTGCTGACATTGTAAGTTCCCTTGGGCAAGCTTTGGTGTGCACCTACAATACGCGTAAAAGGGAAAGGGTGCTCTATGCATCCGCTTCCGAAGGATAGTCTTGGGCGTATGGTACATAGACGTCTGTGTTTGGTACGCATGATGCCTGCCGAAGCAAGAAGCGCCTTTTCAATGGTCATTGCTCGTTACCCACCACCATGACGTTGGGATGTGCAGCAACTGCTCGTACGATGGGAGACTCCCTCTGTACATTCCTTTCGTTCACAAAAATAAATATTCTGTGTCGAAAGGGCTTTATGAGGGAAGAGAGGGCGAGAGAGGCGGTTGGAGGGTGGTTAGACATTCAAGAGGGGGCAGGTACAACATGGAAAGAAACGAAAGAGGGATAGAGAGGCACTTGAAAACGGCGCGTACGCTTGTATGCATACAAGACGCGCCCATCTCTCAGTCTATGTTGGCATCACCACTGCAGCAAAAATACAAGCAGCTTGTTTGTCTTCTACTGCCAGAGAGAGATACATGGGCCAAATATCAACATTCGCTGTTGCGGCTCTGGAGTCCCTTGTCGACCACAAGTACTCTGTATTTAAACATACAATAACCAACCCTCATGAGAAAGGTGCAAGAAAATCGACTACCATGTCTTGACCGTGTTCTCCATTGCAATTGCAGCAGCTACTGCACAAGGAGGAGGAGAGTCGCGAGCGAGCGATGTTGGTTGGTCTTGTCAGGTGTTGGCCGGAAACGAAAGATCAAAATTTATTTGTTCGTGGTTGTTGTGCCCTATTTCCTCTTGACGGAGGTAGAGGCTCTGTTGGAGTATTCTGTTTCCGTGCCCGCCATGCGTCCAACGGCATTGAGTTTTGATGTTCCCAAAATGACAAACCGGGGAATTTTCTCTCGTTGATTCAAATACTCCCCCACTGGCACGCCGACACCACGGAAATGGTCTAGAAGCAGAGGAAGATGTGAAAATCAGCATTTGGTGTGCACAGAGTAAGCAAAAAGCAACACTTCACGATCGACACAGCAGGGAACGAACGGCTGATCCCAAGCAGTCGGCAAGATGGAAACAGCCGCGCAGCACAAAAAAATATCCGTGTGCGGCCTTCCTCTCGTTGTGGGGGAACGTTGTGGCTGACGGTGTGTCCAGATTATTTCCTGTTCAATGCTACCCGTGACAAAGATCGACGCCCATATTCTCTTGAACACATTTTGTGGGATTACAGCAGTCAGTGGAGCTTGAGACCCGTTGTTCTTTGCCCTTGTGGGAGTGCGTTGCTGGTGTGGGAGTGCATCCTATGGGAGGTATAGGATGCACCCAACAGCGGGATTTTTCCTCAGTCCTGTTTTGCGACCACCATGCTACCCGAGCAAAATCACCAACTTCCCATCATCATTATTTCATTATTACAGGGTTGTTGATCCCCGATGATGATGGTCCTACGCGACACTCCGAGAAGGGTGCACGCCGCGCCATACCAAAGGCTAGCAGAAAGTAGGGGCACATCTCGCTGAATCAATCTGGGTGGATGGTACGCCACATGGTACAGGTTACGAAGGTACTGGGTAGAGAGAGATCGGGACGGTTTTTATTATGAAGACAACAACAACAACAACAACAACAACAACAACAACAACAACAACAGGTTTCCCCGGACGTATCCAGTTGACGTGTCCGAAGTAATTTTTTGAAAATTCTGTTCATAAAAACAATACTTCATACCCACGCTCTTTTCTTAGGTCTATTCTTAGAAATACACCAAGACATGAACAAGACACGAAAAGACTGCCGTACCCGTTCGAGGCGTGATGTATAAAGTCGAAAGGGATGTGCTGAAGTTGTTGTTGTTGTTTCTCGCATTAGCTCTATAGTCCACAAAAAATGGGGAGCCCGTGGTCTCAAAACCCGGCACATACGACGCCGCGAGAAAACAAAAAACAAAAATAGGATACAAACCACTCGGAAAAAGAAAACAAAATGATCGAAAGAAAGAAAAGAACAGGTATCGCACCTACTGTTCGAGAAAAGAGCCCTCGGACAC